GGGACACACCTGAGGGGGCAGGAACCTGAGGGGGGAGGGGGTCTACCGGGGGGGGAACCGGTACAAGGAAGTCCGGGGGAGGGGGGAGGGAAGGAGTGCGGTAGGGGAAGAGACGGTAGAAGGGGACTGACTCGTCGAACGTGACGTCCTGGGAGGACAGAACACGACGAGAGGAGGGGTGGTAAAACTGCCACCCTGGGGCGTCAGTGGGGAAGCCAAGGAAGACACAGGGAGCAGCACGAGGGGACAGCTTGTCCGCAGACAAGTCGCGGACAAACGCCCGAGATCCCCAGACACGGAACACAGACGCATCGCCAACCTTCCCTGTCCACAGCAAGGCTGGGGACATCGCAGGCCGAGAGACCCGGGGGTGAAGGTTGAGCTGATGCGCCGCGTACCTCACCGCAAACGGCCACAGAAAATGGGGGGCAGCCGCATGCATCATGGACGTACGAGCGACATCCATGACCATGCCAATGCGGCGCTCAGCAATCCCATTTTGCTGTGGTGAGTCCGGAAGCGTGAAGGACTGGCGGATGCCTCGCGCACGACAGTAGGCACGCAGAAGGCCAGAGGAGAACTCTCCGCCTCTGTCCGAGTGCAGACGCAGAACAGGAAAGTCCGAGCCGAAGCTCTTCCTGAGCCGGAGACGAGCCTCGCGGATCCAGTCGATCAGCACCTCAGTGACCTCACCCTTGCTGCGCAAGGGGAGGACTGTGGTGTAACGCGAGTAGTCGTCAACCACCAACAGGAAGTAGCGCTCGTAATCCTGCCCACGGACGGGGGCTGGGCCCCACACATCCATGTGAAGCGTCTGCAGGGGAGCCTCTGTCGGGGGGAAGTGGGAGGAGTGAGGAGTAGCCCGGAGGCGACCCTCGACACAGGGGACACAGGAAGGTCCTGGCCCGGAGGGGAGAGGAGGGAGAGACTGGGGAAGACCAGAGACAAGGACACGGGAAGCCATGCTCCGAAGACGGGGCAAGGAGGGGTGGCCAAGACGGTGGTGCCACAGGAGAGTCTCGTGAGACAGGAGGCGACAAGTACAGGGGGCAGACTCAGGACCAGACCTGGACGCAGCAGCAAACACCTGACCCGACGCTGCTACCTGACCGGACGCGGGGACAGGAGGAGACTCAGTGGTCAGGGTGTAGAGGCTCGACCCCGGCCGACGCGAGAACGTGGCCAGGTGCCGGCCTGTGCGTGCGTCCGTGCAGTGGGTCACCCGCTGACTCGCAGGAGTGAACTGGTGAACCCCCGCATCCTGTAGGTCTGCACCACTCACCAAGTTCGTCGAGAACGAGGGGAGGTACAGGCCAGACAGGGTGCCCGAGGGGGCAGCCGGACACGGGAGGACAGTGGAGAAGTGAGCGAGGACAGGACCCCCAGAGGGGTCAGCCAGGGAGACTGCAACCGGCCGACCAAGCGGCGTGAGTGTGGTGCGGTCCCGAAAGAAGGAGCGAGAAGCCCCAGAGTCAAGTGTAAAGGTGAGGGAGGCCGAAGCCAACGCGGTACCTGAGAGCGCAGCCTCACCCGCACCTGAGGAAGCAGACTCACTAGCACCTAGAGCAGCAGCCGCACCTGTACCTGGAGCAGGAGACTCACTAGCACCCAGAGCAGCAGCCTCACCAGTAGCTAGAGCAGCAGGTCCTATACCTGGGTCAGGCGGGACGCACAGGTGACCGGCACGGTCAGCACTAGTAGGCAATGCATACATGGCAGTGAGAATAGCATCATAGTCAAGAGCATATATATCTACCCTCTGCCTAAGCAACTCCACCCAGTCGGGAAGCTCAGCCTCGTCGCCAAACACGGTACGCCAGGCGTCGCTCAGACGGGCGAAGCAGCGGGACGGTGTATGACTACGTGTCCCACAAGGCTGACCAGTCCGAGTACCAGTGCGAATCACGTAAGAGCAGCGAACAGCACTAAGAGACCCTCCACTCTGAGCGTACCACTCACGAAGCTGGCGAGGCGTGAGAGACACGCGAGAGGGTCGCGGGAGCTGCATCTGGCCGCCACCACGAGTAGAAGCAGCAGGAGTGGTAGTAGGAGTAGCGTCGCCACCCCTACAGCCCCAACCAGCGTACCACTCACGCAGCTGCTGCGGCGTGAGGGACTCACGCCGGCGTCGCTGGGGCTGCATTTGGCTCCGCAAGTAGAAGCAGGAGCAGGACTAGCAGCAGGGAGGCAGGCAGCCAGGCAAGCCAAAAGGCAGGCAGGCAGGCAAGCAGGCGACGCGCAGCGTGCTAGCAGGGCAAGAGCTCACCAGTGGTGGGAAGAGTAGGTTCGGCGACTCAGCGGCTCGGCAGCTCGGCGGCTCGGCGGCTCGGGCGACTCGGGCGGCTCGGCGGCAAGGCGGCTCAGCAGCAACTGCAGCTCAGTAGCTCGGTGACTCGGCGGCTCGGCGGCAGGGCGGCTCGGCAGCAACTGCAGCTCAGCAACCCGGCGGCTCGGCGGCAGGGCGGCTCGGCTGTGGGGCGGCTCGGCTGCTGCAGGGGAGATGAAGGAGGAGGAGAAGCAGGGGAGGCCACACACCTGCCACCCCTCCGCTGGCCTCTCCCGTCGCCTGTCGAGGCGACCTGAGGGGGCCGCTTGCGGCCCCCGAAGGAGCCGCGACGGGCGACGGGAAAAGGGGGGGGTGGGTGGTGGGGGGCCGGTAGGTGCAGCGGCGGGGCCAGCAGGTGCAGTTGCGGGGCCGGTAGAAGGGGACGGCAGGAGCCGTCAGGAGGGGACGGCGGGGCCGTCAGGAAGGGACGGCGGGGCCGTCACGAAGGGACGGCGGGGCCGTCAGGAGGTGACCGGGCCGCGACGGGGGCAGGCGGCGGGGCCGCGTAAGGGCCTGGGCGGGGCCGCGACAGAGCCGTCGGCGGGGCCGCGTGAAAGCCGGGGCGGGGCCGCGTAGAAGCCGGGGCGGGGCCGCGCGAGAGCAGGCGGCGGGGCCGCGAAGGAGCCGGGGCGGGGCCGCGTGAAGCCGGGGCGGGGCCGCGCGAGAGCAGGTGGCGGGGCCGCGAAGGAGCCGGGGCGGGGCCGCGTGAGAGCAGGCGGCGGAGCCGCGTAAGAGAGGGCGGCGGGGCCGCGTCAGTGAAGGCGGCGGGGCCGCAGGGGAAATGGCGACCCGAGGGGTCGCTAAAAAAAAGATCGTGCCTCGGGGGGCGCTTCGGTGGGCCCAAAAAAACGGTCCGTAGAAGGACCCGCTCTATACCATGTGAGAATAAGCGAACAGGAATGAATGAACTAGCAGTGAAATGAGTACAAGTAGGACACCCTAGAATTGTGTACCCCCTATAGGCTAACCCACTGTAGCCTACACAAGCATAACATATATAATGTTTGACAGCTGCCACGTCATAAGTTCCAGTACTGCGCGGACCTGTGTGGAATCGTCCGAAAGAGCCACGTGGCGCACCTCCAGGAATGAAGCACCCATCACTATCGAATAAGCACTAGTAGCAGTATCGGATCAGCCAGTACAAGAGCAAGAAGGTCTAAAGTCGCAAAGGTCAACTGTCGCGATTGTTGAACACCTGAACCGAATGACTCACCAGCGAGGAATGGCAAGCAACAGGCGTAAATGTCCAAATCTCTCTTAGCAGACCTATCTTATTCAAGATCCTTCACTCTAACATCTTCCTCATTCGGAGCAGACGGCTTCTCGGAAATCCCGTCCACCCCTCTTAAACTTGTTTTGGTTCGCCACAGAGCACTCCCCAGCAAATCTCACCACATACGCCAGTCGGCCGTCGGCTAGATTAGCCTTATTCTTTGTATTATGTGGTTGATAAAAATGTTTTCTTATTCCTATTCTTTTGTTTTCAAATCCAATCAACTACACTACGACTAGTTGAGATGTGCGAAATCAAGTTCAGACACGTCCCCTCTTCACGAATCCCACAATCGACACTGTACCGCACTCAAATCCTGCTTATTGCATTTACAACTTTCATAACCCTTTTACAGCCCGCCAGAAAACCAACCTGCGCTGGTTCGCATCCCAAGTTGGATGTCAGGGGGGGCCGCATCCTCTCGAAATCAATGGCCCTGTTCGACAGACAGGCAAGCCCTTCCGCGGAATCAGCACGGCTGTTTCCACTTGGGGTTTTTTCCCACGGTCAGCCCGCAAATTGGTGTCACTGGGCCTTAACGCCCTGCAACCTGAAGGGTTAAGGGTTAGCCTGTCGAACGCGACGTTAACCCTTCAACTTCATCCCCCCCGAAAGCTCCCAGCTCCTTCTCTCCGCGCAGACTTGCGCATAGCTCTAGCCCAGCCCTCCAATCCCCAGAAGGGAGGTTGGCCAAGGGCTAGGCTAGGGTTCCATACGGAAGAGAATACCCACCCCCCACCCTACGATAGTTTTCCCACCAGTGCCCATGCTCTCGCCTCTCCCATCTCTGCCTTGAAAAAGTCCCTTCCTCACACAACCAAACCAGCCACCAGCCACGCACGACTCTCACTTCTCCACTTCTCCAATCTTTTTTATTCCCTGAAGTTACCCAGGTTCCCATGCCATCCCTATGAAAAAAAATAGACCCTGCCCACGATGAAGATGGTGGAAGGAGGGTTAGCAACTTCGCCATGACGATCCCCTCCTTCCAACATCGGGAGGCGCTGCTTCCGATTTCGTAAGGGGGGGGTAGCCTAGGGGAGGTTACTTCGAAAACTCCTCTTAGCTCTAGCCTAACCCTAGCTCTCCAAGGAGATGGCTGCCTATCGAACAGGGCCAATAACCTTTTCCGCTCTGCGCAAGGGCGCAACTCCCTCACAGCTCATTCGAAACTCACTGGCGATTGTTAGATGGAGGGAAGTTGTAGCTGTTCACGAATCGCACATGCGCTCAGTGATCAAGGAGCACTGGTCGGCTATTCGCGAATCGCCGTGGTTATCTTAGCCGCGACCGTTGTAGCGCGTCACCATTAGCGGGGACGGCGGAATCGCGCACCTGCGCCGCATCATCGAGCGCATCGTAGAGCGGCGGGGGACCGGCGGCAGTGGCGGCGGAACGATGATGCGGAAGGTGGTGCGGCGCGCGGAGTGGGAGGCGCGCATGGACGCGGCGGCGGTGCGCGCGGAGGACATGAACAAACTTGTAATGAATTACCTCGTAACGGAGGGCTACGTGGACGCGGCGCGCAAGTTCGAGCTTGAGTCCGGGACCGACCGTGAGTTGCGGGATGCTGATGCCGCGACCATGCGTGGCTATGTGCACAGCTCAACCAGCGCAGCCCACCCAGCTCAGCCCAACTGTGCCCCTCGGCAGTACACCTTTCCGAATTTCGCAGAGTACATATCACACCCTTTTACCTCCCGTTTCTCTCCTCGCCCACTTTCCCCCCTTTTTCTCTTTCTCCCGGTCGGCCCTGGCGGTGCAATTCATGGGGACGCATCAACGGGTGAGATCGTGCTCGCGTCAACCTTCCTTTCCTCCATCCGCCCTTCCTCTATTTCGTGGCAGCGGGCGCGGATCTGGGGGCGGTGGCGGAGCGCATGGCGGTGAAGCAGGCGGTGCAGCGGGGGGACGTGGAGGACGCCATTGACCGGGTCAACGACCTCAACCCCGAGGTGAGGCAGGCAGGGGCGTTGACCGGGTCAACGGCCTCAATCCCGAGGTGAGCAGCTGGCGTGCATGTGGATCCACGTCCAGGCGCTGACTGGTGGCTGGCTGGCTGACTGCAATCACCATCAGCTGCTTCTCTCGCCTACCCACCTTGCGTGCCCTGGCCTGCCAAGCTTACTGCCATGGACTGCTGGTGCTTTCTGTCGTTCATTCACGGCGTCTGCTCCGTGAATCTGTTCCTATTCCAACGTTCCACTGTCGCTGGAGTCTCCTGCCCTCCAGCCCATGCATAACATTCCGGGGTTGCACTTCGCGATTCCTCTCTTCCGTTCAGCCATTCCCCCCTGCCCGCGTATTCCACCCCCGCCCATATCCAGGAGACAGGGGCAGGGGAGTTCTTCAGCCTGCAGCAGCAGCGCCTCATCGACCTCATCCACTGCAATACCCGGCACTGCCGCTCACCCCTTTTACCTCCTCGACACGACACGAGTGCAGGGATTTCCTCTCCTGTCCAACTATTCCTCTCTGCCCTCCTTCCCCCCTCAGATACGGGCGCAAGGGTATTTTTCCGAGCAGCAGCGCCTCATCGAGCTCATCCCCCCCCACTGTCCCCTTCTCCTCCCACCCAACTCCCTCTCCCCCTCCACCTCCTCCTCCTCCCCACCCCCCTCAGATTCTGGACACGGGAGCAGGGGTGTTTTTCCGTCTGCAGCAGCAGCGCCTCATCGAGCTCATCCCCCCCCACTCTCCCCTTCTCCTCCCACCCCACTCCCTCCCCCCCTCCGCCTCCCCCCCGTTCCCCCTCAGATCCTGGACACGGGAGCGGGGGTGTTCTTCCGTCTGCAGCAGCAGCGCCTCATCGAGCTCATCCGCGCCGGCCGGGTGGACGAGGCGCTTGACTTCGCCCAGGAGGAGCTGGCTCCCCGCGGCGAGGAGAACGTGAGTGCGGGTGGGAGGGGGGAAGGGGGGGTTGTGGGGGGGAAGGCGGGGAGGGAGTGTAAAGACGGAGGGAGGTGTTGCCGGGTGGACGAGGCGCTGGACTTCGCCCAGGAGGAACTGGCGCCCCGCGGCGAGGAGAATGTGCGTTGCCTGGCGGGGAAATGGGTGTGGGGGGGGTGGAGAGGTGGGTGTTTTGGGGTTGGTGGGAAGGGCGGGGAAGGAGTGCAAGAGGAAACAGGAGCGGATGAGGCGCTAGCTTTCGCTCAGGAGGAGCTGAGTCCCTGGGCCGCGGAGAATGTGGGTGGAGGGTTGGAGGGTTGGGGGGTTGGGGGGTTGGGGGGGAAGGGCAGGCAAGCGCAAGGGTGGAGCGAAAGCAGCAGTGGAGGGGGGTGGTGCTTGGGGGGGCGCTTGGTGGAGGCGCTCGATTTTTGTCAGGGGGAGATGGGTTCGTGGGCGAGGAGATGGTGAGTTGGTTGGGGAGTTTGGGGAGCTGGGGGAGTGGGGTTTTGAAGGAGTGCAAAAGGAGAGGGAAGTGTCGTCAAGGCACTTGACTTGGATCAGGAGGGTCCCTGGGCCGAGGAGATTGTGAGTGAGGGGGAGAGAGAGGAGGGGGGAGAGGGGGAACGTGCAAGGAGAATGTGAGGAGATGGGGTAGGGGAGGAGCGCAGGCTGAGGAGACTGGGAGTGCGGATGCGTCGGGGGAAGAGGAGCATGAGTGGGGACGCGTTTGGGGGAAATGTGGGCTTCTTGTGGGGCTGGGATGTGCCATGCACCGAGGCTGGGAGGCTGGGATGTGCCATGCACCGAGGCTGGGAGGCTGGGATGTGCCATGCACCGAGGCTGGGAGGCTGGGATGTGCCATGCACCGAGGCTGGGAGGCTGGGATGTGCCATGCACCGAGGTGGCCTGTGGCTGAGGTGGAGAGGGAAGCGTGGCTGAGCGCATTCATGGAAGCATCAGTGTGTGTGTTGAGAATAGGGGTGAGGCCGTGGGTGTGGTGGGAGAGAAGGAGGGGGGGAAGGTGGGAAGGCGCCTGCAGGTGAGTCGCCTCCCCCCATCCTCCCTCCGCCGCCTCTTGCTCCCCCATATCCCTTGCCATCCTTCCCCACTCGCGCTTCGCTCCCTCTCGCACTCACCCATCTGCTGCACGCGCCTCCCGTCCCACCGTTCCCTTCCCCCCTGCTCCACCATGCACTCACTCATGATGCTGCTGCACTTGCTGAAACTCCCCACCCCCCTCCCCCCCTCTCTCCCTCGGTTGGCCGCCCTCCACCCATGTCATTCCCCTCCTCTCCCATCGTCCCATCCTCACCATTCTCTCCCAACACCCTTCCAACAACCTCCCCCTCCCCCCACCCTCCCTTCACCCTCCCCCCACCCTCCCTTCACCCTCCCCCCACCCTCGTTCCATCCCTCGCTAGGTGGCCTGTCTAGAGGAGCTGGAGCGCACCCCCATGCTAGAGGACGTAGGGGACCCTAGAGGAGCTAGAGAAGCTGTCTCGGTCTCCCTGCTGTCTATGTCTCCCTGCTGTCTATGTCTCCCTGCTGTCTATGTCTCCCTGCTGTCCCGCCATGCCGTCCGCCTTCTCTCCCTTCTCACCCTCACCATTATCTTAACCCACCCTCACCCCACCCCTGCCCCACCCTCGCACACTCATCCCCCCAGGCGGCTTACCTAGAGGAGCTGGAGCGCACCGTTGCCCTGCTGGCGTTTGAGGACCCTGCCACATCAGCACCTGCCACGCTGGCAGAGCTGCTGGACGTGAGTCAGCGTGACAAGGCGGCCGCTGAGCTCAATGCCGCCATCCTGGCGAGCCAGGGCCACGAGAAAGGTAAGGGGAGAAGAGGGGTGGTGAGAGGGAGAAGAGGGGTGGTGAGAGGGAGAAGAGGGGTGGTGAGAGGGAGAAGGTGAGGATGGCCACGACAACGGTGCACCAGGAGGGACAGCGAAGAGGGAAGGATCCAGGGCTACGAGAAAGGTGCACACGGGATGGGGCTGAGGTAGGGGGAAGGGGAAGAGGTTGGGGTTGGGGGAGAGAAAGGTGAGTGCGGGGAAATGTGAGAGGGGTGAGGAAGGTGAGGGGCAGAAGAAATATGTGAGGAGAGGTGTGAGAACGTGAGAAGAGGTGGGTTAAGGTAAAGAGAGGTTAGGAGAGGTGAGGAGGGAAGAGGAGAGGTGAGGATAGGTGAGGAGAGGTGATAACGTGGACAGCAAGGTATGGGGAGAACCGGTGGTGAGAGGTGAGTAGAAAGATGGAGAAATGCTAGTGGAGCGGAGGGGCTAGTAGCCCAAGCAAGGCCAGGTTGAGCCCTTAAAGGGGTCAGCAATGCCTTTGAAGGGTCACAGAATGGGATGGTGTTCTGCTCTCCGCTCAGGCTATCAACTGCACTCTACCTTTTTTCCCCCGCTTCCCCCCACTCCCCTCTTTTCGCTCTTTCCTTCCCCCTCTTCCCCTCCTTCCCCTTCCCCTCCTTTCCCCCTTCACTTGTTTGCCCCTTACCCTCCACCCCCCCTCTCATCACCCCCATCGCCTCTCACTGCCGCAGATCCGAAGCTACCGAGTGTGCTGAGGATGCTGCTATGGCTGCAGGGGCAGCTGGACGGCAGAGTGGCGTACCCCAAAGTCACCGACCTCACCACAGCGCTCCTGCACGACCCGCCCTCGCTCTAATCTCGCCTCCCCTGTGCTCTTTCCTCAGTGCACAGCGCTGCCCGACCTGATGTGCTTGCTGTAAATAGTCGTGATTTGTCAGTAGGGCATGATGTAGTGTAGGGGGTCTCCCTCCCTCTATCCAGATAAAGAGCAAGTTACAACACATTGGCTTGCTGGCGGACCATCACCACATCATGATTGTATCTGATTATATCAGGTCGAACCATCTGCACCCCATATGGGTGACTGCTCACGTATGGTATTAAACGGTATTGTCAGTCACGTCACATCACATCACCCCTTTGTCAGAATCCCAGCCACTAACCACTGGGATAAAATGGCTTATTTGTGTAGCGGGTGAGTGCGCCCATAACCTCCCAGGCCAACGTGCCTGTAACCCTTCCCTAGGATCAATCGGGGATCACTAGTGGACCTCTAAGGGCGCATCACCTCGGGGCTGGAAGGCCCAAATCCGAACATACGTAACGAATTCACTGTACGAACAGTTTCCCGATGAGATCCGAACACAAATTTGAACACCTTGGTGAATGTGACAGCTCGTGACTAGAGGTGACAGCCTGTTCGAACATGCGACGTCGCCAAGTGCTGGACGACTTCGCGAAACGTCGCAAAAAAATAATTCTGTCGTCTGCCATTCAAGTTTGACTCATTTTTCGCCCATCCAGTCAAACAGTCTCTTCGTGCTCTTCTACCACTGCTCACCTTGTTGTTTCCCAACAACAATGTCCTTTTTTATGAACTTTCTCCTGCATGGCGACATTTGCAATGGTCGCAAACATTCGTGTGCGACCCGAAGCCTGCTAACCAATAAAATCAGTCGTCCATGCGGAATTCCTGTCACCAAACCCAACTTTGTTCGAACAACTCTGTTCGAACGTGCGGAATGGAGAGCTTCGTGCCCCGTGTGACAACTCTGTTCAAATTCGCGAAATTTCCGACTAGCGACGTCACGAACACCCATACGAGGAATGGCGAAAAATGTAACATTTCGCCTGTTCGAACAACCGTCCTGTTCGAACTGAGAGGTGAAGCGCCCTAACACCCTTCAAGGATTGGTATCTCTTGCAGAATTGGTAAGGTATTGCCAATCCATGATATAGCGAAGTTGTGAGTGAGCAGCAATAGGGTGTCGTAATGGAAAGAGTGGAGAAACAATTGGTGCAGTCAAACTGGGGGGCGTTTTTCTACCACAATTTATTTCTCTAAAGAGGATCTTAGCAAGGTGGTAAGGAAAAAGAATGAACCGTAGTGAAGTTGTGAGATTGAAGCACAGATGAATGAGTTGGATGTTTTCATTCGTACATGCAGCACAGACATCACAGTATAAGTGCTTTGAGCATCGTAGGTGCTGCATTCCGGCGACTTGCAGTATAGGGGCTTCGCAAATGACTACGATTATTTCATGTTTGCAACGGTTGAGTGAGAGAGTTTTGAGGGACTAAATTCGTGTGACACGCGTACTCGCAGGCGTCCGCGCGCAAGCCACTAGAGGAGAAGCATTGAGAGATATCATCGCACGGTGGTTGCACATCTGCATGGAGCTATTTCGCTAGGGCCTGCGACTAGAGCTGCCACTCTGCGAATAGTAACGACATCGCAGTCCGCGTTGCGCGACAGCGACTCAGGTGGCACATTAACGACATAGCAGGGGCTGGCACGTATCTTCGCGGCTGCATTCCGCCCACCCCGCCCTCTGTGCACCCACGCCCTCTGTGCACCCACGCCCTCCTCACGCGCCTGCATTGCATCCTCTGTTGCCTTGCAGAGGGGGGGACGGATTCCAGTACTTTCACACCCGATCTCTTTGAGATTCGACAAGAGTTTCTCGTGAAACCCAGAATTGGGTTTCCCATTAAACCCGTAACCCGAAACCCAGAACCCCGAGATTTTGTGATCGCGAGTGGCGGGCGGCATGGGCAAGCGAGAGGTGCGCGCGGGGGTGAGTCCCGCGGAGCGGGAGGAGCGGATGCGCGCGGCGAGGGAAATGGCTAAGGAGCTCCCCATCTCTGCAGGTATGGCATTCCCATGGGTGCAGGTACGGCATTCCCATGGGTGCAGGTACGGCATTCCCATGGCTGCAGGTACGGCATTCCCATGGGTGCAGGTACGGCATTCCCATGGCTGCAGGTACGGCATTCCCATGGGTGCAGGTACCCATCATCATTTTCTACTGCCCTCCAGTACCCTCCATTACTCTCCAGCGCCCTTAAACACCCTCCACTCGCCTCCATTCACAACACCCTGTAGAACCCTTCACTGCACCCTAAAGAGCCTCTGCCGCTCTGCTGTCTGTGCAAACTTGAAACCTTGCTATTTTCGCAAATAGCCCTCATACAGTGCTGGAATTCTAGCTTTCATATCTCGTCCAATTGTGTCTCATTGCCCTGTAACGCGTACAACCACCCGCCCCTGCACGGCAGTGCAGCAGCAGCTGGTGGAGGAGGTGCGGGCGGCACACACACTCGTGGTGGTGGGCGAGACCGGCAGCGGCAAGACCACTCGTCAGTCCCTCCTTCCCCCGCCCGCCCTCTCTTGCCCTCTCCTCCTCTCTTGCCCTCTCCTCCTCTCTTGCCCTCTCCTCCTCTCTTGCCCTCTCCTCCTCTCTTGCCCTCTCCTCCTCTCTTGCCCTCTCCTCCTCTCTTACACTTATCCTCAAGCACCCTCGTCAGTCCCTCCTCCTTGTGCCCAGTGCCCACCCACTCCAGCCGCTCTCCCCACGCCACGGATCACCATCACAATATCCTGCTCCCACTCTACCACTCCGTCCCTCCCTTCTCCCCTTCTCCTTCCCCAGAGGGCCCCATCCTCCACTCGTCGCTCCATTTACACGCAACACTGCCTGACACTTATCACTCACCTTGCCTCCCTCTCTTTGCCATCTCCACTTCCCTCTGTATCCCTCCCCCCCAGAGCTCCCCCAGTTCATTCTTTCCTCCAGCCTGCTCGCTCGCGCCACACCAATCCATTGCCTTCACACAAACGCAGTGGATGGCAGCAGTGACGTGACTCACCCACTCACTCCCCCTCTCGCTCTCTCCATCTCACTCCCCCTCACATGCTCTCCCACTAACTCATTCTCTCCTCTCACTCTCACTCTTTTTCCTCACTCCCTCTCCTTCTCCCCCGCAGAGCTCCCACAGTTCATCCTCTCATCGGGCCTGCTCGCCCCACACCAAGCCATCGCCGTCACACAGCCGCGCAGAGTGGCAGCAGTGACGGTGGCGGCGCGCGTGGCGGAGGAGAGGGGCGTGGGCGTGGGGCAGGAGGTGGGTTACAGCGTGCGATTCGAGGACGTCACCAGCTCGCACACGCGCATTAAATATCTTACCGATGGCATGCTTCTCAGGTGAGGGGAGGGATTATGTAGTGCTCCGTAGGGTGGCGGAGGAGGGAGGAGAGGGGCGTGGGCGTGGGGCAGGAGGTGGGGTACAGCGTGCGATTTGAGGACGTCACCAGCTCGCACACGCGCATCAAGTACCTCACTCACTGATGGCATGCTGCTCAGGTGCGGGTCAGGGTGCTGTGCTGCACCCAGTGTGGTGCAGAGCTTTGTGGCATGAAGGTCAACTCCATGTCACGTCCACCTACACCACGCGCATCAAGTACCTCACTCATGGCATGCTGCTCAGGTGCGGTGCGGTGAGGGCTAAGTTGGTGCACCCAGTGTGGTGCACTTAGTGTGGTACTTGGTGGTGCGCGGGTCAACTCCATGACACCTCCTCCCGCACCACGCATGCACATCGAGTACCTCACCAACGGCATGCTGCTCAGGTGCGACCGGCGGTGGTGGTGTTCTGTAGAGCCTAAGTAATGTTTAGTAACACACAGGTGACTGCTCAGGTGAGTGCTCAGGTGAGTGCTCAGGTGAGTGCTCAGGTGAGTGCCCAGGTGAGTGCTCATGTGAGTGCTCAGGTGAGTGCTCAGGTGAATGCTCAGGTGAATGCTCTGGTGATTCCGTGTCCATGGTCCCTTGCAACCTGTCTTGTCCTTATTGGACCTTCTTCCACACTGCTTTGGCGTGGTGAGGTGAGGATGAGGCAGACAGACAGACGTGGTGAGGATGAGGCTGACAGACAGACGAGTAAGGTAGTAAACACCCTTCTCCCAGATTTCATGTGGCTCCTTCTGGTGGACCTTTTTGGCTCTGGTGGGCCCTTGTATTGAGCTGCTATGGCGTGGTGGTGGACGAGGGTCATGAGCGCACATTGAAGCACCCAGGTGTGCAAGACGCACCAACACCCTGTTTCCACATTCCCGATGTCACAACCTCCAGGGAAGCACTTTTGGACCCTCTTTTGAAGCGGTATGGCGTGGTGGTGGTGGACGAGGCCCACGAGCGCACTGTGAACACGGACGTGCTGCTGGGCCTGCTGCAGCAGGTGCAGGCCCGCCGCCATGTGCTCGCCACAGGGCAGGCGGGTGTAGGGATGGGTGGGCAGGGGCAGAAGGGGAAGGTGGTGGGCGGTGGGAGAGAGGCGGAGGATGGGGACACGGGGAGGCGGAAGGGGAAGAAGAGGCGGAGAGGAGAGGAGGGCAGGGAGGGAGAAGCAGACAGAGAGGCGGACGGGCAGATTGGGGAGGCTGCTGCAGGCACAGGCACAGGCACAGGCGTAGTGGCAGGTGCAGGTGCAGGTGCAGGCACAGGTGCAAGCGAGGGCGAGTTGAAGCTGATAGTCATGTCGGCTACCCTGGAGTCGCGCAAGTTCCTCGACTTCTTCCCCGGCGCCCACGCTGTGTACATCCGCGGCAGGCAGCACCCCGTGCAGGTGCTCTACACTCCCGCCCCCGAGCCTGACTTTCTCGACGCAGCGCTGGTAACCGTGTTACAGATACACACGGATCACCCTCTAGAGGGTACAGCCCCGGGGCAGGCGGGGGATATTCTCGTGTTTCTCACGGGGCAGGAGGATATAGAGGCCATGGCCAGGCTGCTGCAGGAACGTGCGGCGAAGCTTCCTCCCGGGACGCCGCCACTGGCGGTGGCGCCCATCTATGCGGCGCTGCCGGCGGAGCAGCAGATGAACGTGTTCCGCCCCGCACCCGCTGGGTCCAGAAAGGTGCAGTGCGGTGCAGCGTGGATGGAGGGGTGAGGTGGGGGTTAGGAGATGGGCTGCTGGTTTAGAGGTCGGGCGTGGAGTGGAAGCTTGGGCAGGGTGGCGGTGACATGTAGGGACAGGGTGACAATAAGTGGCAGGGTGAACTGAAATGCATCACCTTCAGTAGATTACTGTTATGCTGCAGCTGCTCATCCTTCCCCGGCCCACTTTCAACCAAGTGATGCAGTGCCGTGTGCTCCTATCAGCTCTTTCCTCTCATCTCTGCCCGTCGTCCCTCCAGCGTTCACCTTTCGACTGCTTCCACCACTCTGCTCGTTCCCCCACCCAGCATCGCACACTCCTGTCCACACCCAGCATCGCACACTCCTGTCCACACCAGGCGTGTGGTGTGAAATGGAAGCAAGCAAGCCTTCCTCCTCTCCCTCACTCTTTCCCCCCCGCTCCAATCCCCTCCCTCTGCCTGCACCCAACCTCCCCCACCCTCTGCATGCCGCTCGCTCCTCTCCCCCAGGTCGTTCTAGCGACCAACATCGCCGAGACGTCAGTGACGATCCCAGGCATCCGCTTCGTGGTGGATGCGGGGCTGGTGAAGGCGCGGGCGTTCAACTGCCGCACGGGTGTTGACTCGCTGGTGGTCGTGCCCGTGTCCAAGGCACAGGCCCGCCAGAGAAGGTGCGCGGAGGTACGGGGGTGTTGGGCATGGGGGGCTTGCACTGCAGGGGCGCTCAACGGGTGTTGACTCTCTGGTGGTCGTGCCCGTGTTTAAGACACAGGCCCGGCAGAGGAGGTGTGTGGTGAACCGTGAAGGGGCATGTGTGGGTGCGGGTAGGTGGAGGGTGGGAGGCATGGGTGCGCGGAGGAGGTTGGTACATGCAGTGCGGGAAGGCAAGCAGGAGAAGGCAAGGGCATTCAACCGGTGTTGACTGGCTCGTCGCTGTGCCCATGTCCAAGGCGCACGGCCGCAGGCCCCCCCAGAGAAGGGGCGGGGAGGGGGGGGGGGTATGCATGGGCGGAGGGAGGTGCGGGGAGGTTGGGTTGGGTGGTTCGAAAGTGGGCAGAGGAAGGAGGTGGGAGCAACTGTGGGCTGAGAAGGTCGGGGGCATGTGGTGGGGGTGGGGGAACACTGCATGTGGTTTTATTATCCTCATCTCAACCTCCAGGCATCACTGGTGAAGGTGCAACCTCCAGGCATCACTGGTGAAGGTGCAACCTCCAGGCATCACTGGTGAAGGTGCAACCTCCAGGCATCACTGGTGAAGGTGCAACCTCCAGGCATCACTGGTGAAGGTGCAACCTCCAGGCATCACTGGTGAAGGTGCAACCTCCAGGCATCACTGGTGAAGGTGCAACCTCCAGGCATCACTGGTGAAGGTGCAACCTCCAGGCATCACTGGTGAAGGTGCAACCTCCAGGCATCACTGGTGAAGGTGCAACCTCCAGGCATCACTGGTGAAGGTGCAACCTCCAGGCATCACTGGTGAAGGTGCAACCTCCAGGCATCACTGGTGAAGGTGCAACCTCCAGGCATCACTGGTGAAGGTGCAACCGAGTGGCCTCTGCCTTTGCGCCCTGTCTGCTCCCTCCCACTCTCCACTCCCACTCAGCACCGCGCTCGACTCCCTCCCTCCATGCCTCCATTGCCTCCCTCCCTCCATGCCTCCATCCATTGCCTCCCTCCTTCCATGCCTCCATCCATTGCCTCCCTCCCTCCATGCCTCCATCCATTGCCTCCCTCCCTCCATGCCTCCATCCATTGCCTCCCTCCCTCCATGCCTCCATCCATTGCCTCCCTCCCTCCATGCCTCCATCCATTGCCTCCCTCCCTCCATGCCTCCATCCATTGCCTCCCTCCCTCCATGCCTCCATCCATTGCCTCCCTCCCTCCATGCCTCCATCCATTGCCTCCCTCCCTCCATGCCTCCATCCATTGCCTCCCTCCCTCCATGCCTCCATCCATTGCCTCCCTCCCTCCATGCCTCCATCCATTGCCTCCCTCCCACGTTCCATCCGCTCCTGCAGTGGGCGAGCGGGCAGGGAGGCGCCGGGCAAGTGCTACCGGCTGTACACAGAGGGCACGTTCGACGCGCTGCCAGAGGCGCCCGTGCCGGAGATGCTGCGCTGCAACCTCGCTGCTGTCGTGCTGCAACTCATCGCCCTCGGGGTCAAGGACCTGCTCTCCTTCCCCTTCCTCGACCCGCCACCGCAGTGAGTGGTTTGTTTGTTGTGTCTCGCCTTGACGTGTTGTCAGGTCAGGACTGCACGTGCTGGAAACGGCCGTGAAGGCCTAGCAGCGCTGTTGTGCTGCAATGCAACTCATCGCTCTCTCTAACACCCTCCAGCGTCCCCTCTACTAAAACCTCTGAGGCTTTTGACCAGCACTCCCCTTATGAGTCGACTCAAAAGTCACCTCTGAGGCTTTTGACCATCCAGCACTCCCCTTCATCCATCCGCACTACCAGTCTCTCATGCTTCTTTCCTCCTTCCCCCTTCTCTCCCTCCTGTGTCCCCTCCCCCTTCCAGGGCGCCAATACTGTGGGCGCTGGAGCATCTGTTCGCTTAGGGAGCGCTCACGCCACAGGGGCGGCTGTCAGCACAGGGCAAACACATCGCCCGCTTCCCGCTCTTCACCCCCTTCTCTCACCCCTCTGTACACTCCCTCCCCCCTGACAGGGCGGCCATACTGCGAGCTTTGGAGCATCTGTTCTCGCTGGGAGCGCTCACACCAGACGGGAGCCTGTCGCCACAGGGGAAACACATGGCGCGCTTCCCCCTCGACCCCGTCTTCGCCAAGGTGCGTGGGCGAGTTCATGCCGAGGCGATTTTTGTGTCGACTCAAAAATCGTCTCAACACATGCGGATTACATGTGGAGAGAATGTTTGTTGCGTGAAAAATTGGTTGTAACCTACAGCGGTTACTGGTGCGTGCGCGACTTTCAGAGTTGCCCCCTGGCGAAATCTGAACCCAACCCTTCACGCTGACACTTTCGAGGACGCTGAAGACGTGGCTGCCTGAAGTTTTCGAGGGCAGTCGGATTGGTCCCCGTCACTTGGGTGACCTGGTGTGGATAGCCTAGAGTTCGCTTTCTCGGAAGCTTTGTTTCTATTTAGAGGCATTGCTTAGCCCTTCTTTCTCATTGTTGGCACTGATGAAGGTTCGAGAGGGTCCTTCCCTCTCGGCCGAAACATGTTTGTCCCTGTTTTACTCTACTGCTAAGTGTTTGGGTTCTGAGATCGTTCTGAGCACTTAGTTTTACACAAGAGCGGAATTTTGCTGCTGTATATCCTTTGCTTTAAGCCTACTGCACGCACGCAGCTCACTGAGACATGTCTGAAACTCAGGTGGGTGGGCGAGTTCATGCTGAGGTGGGTGAGCGAGTGCACACAGGTGAGCACACAGCAGGTGACCAATGCGCCGTGCTTGTGCCGCGGGGAAAGAGCATGCTCCTCCTCACCATCCGCTCCTTCATCGACAGTGCTGCTGCAGGCCCGGCAGTATGAGGAGGTCCAGCAGTATGAGGAGGTCCAGCAGTATGAGGAGGTCCAGCAGTATGAGGAGGTCCAGCAGTATGAGGAGGTGCAGCAGTATGAGGCGGAGCACCCCTCTCACTCTGCCCCCCTCCCCTCCCCCTCCTCCAGGCCATACTGGATGCGTATGGCCTTGGGTCAGCAGCAGTGGCAGGCGACATGGTGGTAGCATCGAGCACACGAAAGCGACCATTCCCAGTTTCCATGCTTGTTATCCACCCAGCCGTCACTGTCACTCTTTCCACTCCACCTCCCTCGCCCCCCCCACCTCACCAGGCCATACTGGAAGCATATCGACTGGGGACAGCAGTGGCGGCGGACAGCATGTGGCAGCAGCAGGCACAACCATCCTCTGCACTCGTTATGCTCACACCCATCATTGTCCCTCGCTCCCTCCGCTTCCCCCCCTTCCCTTCCCCTCCTCCACAGGCCATACTGGAGGCATATCGCCTTGGATCAGCAGCAGTGGCAGACGACATGGTGGCAGCAGTGGCCATGCTCTCTGTGGACTCGCCCTTCCATACGCCCTCGCATGCTGCTGCTGAGGTAATGCTGCTGCTCATGTATTGCTGCTGCTGACTTGGCATGGCATAGCTGTTGCTCATGTCACATGGCCAATGTTGCACTGACTGACATAGCTTGATCCAAGTCATCATGCTGAGATGTCATGAGATTGAATGGGGCTTCTTGTGATGGCGTTACATAATCTGTGTAACATAATCACTCCTTTCATTCCCTTCACTTTTTTCTCCACATCCCTGTTACATAATCTGTTGCCTCGCTCACAGGCTCACGCTGCCCGAAAGAGATTTTTCTGCCCGGATGGCGACCATCTCACGCTGGTGAACGTTCTGCGGGGTTATCTGGCAGCGGGCAGCCAAAACACCGAGGCTGATGACGTGGCAGATGACGGGAGCAACAAAGATGGGAGTCGTGGTGGGGGTCCGGGGTTTGGGCGACAGGCGAAGGCGAGGGAGGGGAGGGTGCGGGCATGGTGCAAGGCACACTACCTCAATGGACGCTCTCTAAAAAAGGCAGCAGATGTGTATCGGTGAGAGTGGGGCAGATGTGTATCGGTGAGAATGCACGGGCCCATGGATGGCTGGTGAGAATGCACGGACCCATGCATGGCTGGTGAGAATGCACGGGCCATGCATGGCTGGGCCTTAATCTTCTTCTGTGTGAGGTTTACGGTCGGAATGGTTTCAAAAGAAGGCACTTGTCCACCCAGGATCATAACTGTCTGCATGTCCCTCACTCTCCACTCCTCCTCTCTGCATCTCCCTCACTCCTTTTCTCCAATCTGCACGTCCCTCTCTCCTCTCCTCCTCTCTGCATGTCCAATCTGCATGTCCAATCTGCATGTCCAATCTGCATGTCCCCCACGCCCGTGCCGTATTCACCGCAGGCAGCTGCAAGCGTACTGTCACGGCCTCTCTCTACCTGTTGTCTCCAACTCGCCTCTACCTCCATCGTCGTCATCAGGACTCGCGGCCACGGGCACAGCAGCAGCAGCAGCAGCGCAGCGGCGGGACGAGTCGGTTGCGTTTCGCCGGGCGCTGACAGCAGCCTTCTTTGCCAACGCTGCCAAGAAGCAAGCCGACGGCACATACAGGTACCTGAGGGCGGGCACGTGCTGGTACGTGAGGCCCTGAGGGTGGGCACGTGCTGGTACGTGAGGCCCTGAGGGTGGGCACGTGCAACCTGAGGGTGGGCACGTGCAACCTGAGGGTGGGCACGTGCAACCTGAGGGTGGGCAACAACATCTTGGGAGGGTGGAAGGACCAGTACTTGTTGAGTGCTCCGCCGCACAGATGTGATTTCTGAGGCGCCTCAAGGGCCGTGCATGTTGCGTGCGGGACCTTACAGATGTGCGCATGAGAATGCAGTGATAGCCTCACGCACCCTCATGCGCACACCACTCTCAGGTGCTGTGCTCTCAGGTGCCATGCTCTCAGGTGCCATGCTCTCAGGTGCCATGCTCTCAGGTGCCATGCTCTCAGGTGCTGTGCTCTCAGGTGCCATGCTCTCAGGTGCCATGCTCTCAGGTGCTGTGCTCTCAGGTGCCATGCTCTCAGGTGCCATGCTCTCAGGTGCCATGCTCTCAGGTGCTGTGATCTCAGGTGCCATGCTCTCAGGTGCCATGCTCTCAGGTGCCATGCTCTCAGGTGCTGTGCTCTCAGGTGCCATGCTCTCAGGTGCCATGCTCTCAGGTGTCATGCTCTCAGGTGTCATGCTCTCAGATGCTCTGCTCCTCAGCCCCCCCCGGCCTTGTTACCGCCACCACTTTCTGCCTGCCTTCATATTGCCCGCCTCTCTGCCTTCTCACCTGTGCCCTCGCCTTCCCAGGGCACTAGCAAGCGGGCAGGTGGTGGCGATTTACCCAACCTCTGCCTGCCTTCACTATTGAAGCACACCGGCATCCTCCTCTCGCCCTTCCCCCCTGTGCTCCCTCTCCTCTCGCCCTTCCCCCCTGTGCTCCCTCTCCTCTCGCCCTTCCCCCCTGTGATCCCTCTCCTCACAGGGCACTAGCAAGCGGGCAGGTGGTGGCAATCCACCCATCCTCCGTTCTCTTCAGCGGCGCCGCCACCAGCAGCACCACCATTGGTGGCAGCAGAGGGGGTGGCGGCAGCAACCGCAGCAAGAGCAGCAAGAGTGGGGGCGAGCAGCAGGCAGCACCTGCACGTGCACATCTGCCGGACTGCATAGTGTTCAATGAGATGGTTCGCACCAACAGGCTGTATGCTCGCGGTGTCACCCGCATTGATGCCCTCTGGCTGCCTGAACTTGCACCGCAATTCTATAAAACCCATGTGTAATGAATGGCAGCACCTGCACATGCGCATTTGCTGGACTGCATAGTGTTTAATGAAATGGTTCGCACCAACTGGCTGTATGCTCGCTCGCGGTGTCACCCGCATTGATGCTCTCTGGTTGCCTGAGCTCGCACCACAGTTCTATAAAACGGATGTGTCAGGAGATGTGTGGTGACCGCAAGGCAATTGCATCAATGAACCTTTGAAGAGATGTGTCCCGGGGTATTTGCCAGGTGCAAATTTCGTGGCCAGGCGGTGCAAAGTCCTTGTTCGTGCAGCAATTATAGGTGTTTTAGAATCCTGGTGCGCTAAGCAATCGTGTAACAAGTGTGCAGAGGGACAAATACCTCCAGGTCTATCACATTGACCAGCTCAACACAGGTCTTTTCATATTCCCAATGAAGTAATCTACCACCTTACAATTATTCTCTGCTCCATTCAACATTTCCTCCACTGACACTCCGGTACAATCAACCCTGAGATATCGTCTTTTTTTTGTTTTGTTTTTTTTTAAGAAGGCTTTTCACTATATCAGGGATACAGCAAAAGGGGCGACAGTCGTAACTGTTGAGAAGAGGGGGGCAATTACACAATAATGAGAGAGCCGCCCCTCAGATGCAACTACGGCGGTTTGTACCTGGCCCTCCGGGCCGTCCAGATCGACAGAAAATCCTCTCTCCACGTCAGACTGCTGGCCGCCCTCGTGCTGGCATTTTCCAGCGCTGCAGCTTCATCACTGGCCAGATGCTGTTTGGCCACGTGCCTCCTTTTGATCCACGCCTTCCTTCGCTTGATGCCTTCGTAAGTGCGCGCATGCAGGCAGAATTTTGTCGCGATCCGCCGCATCACCTTCCCGCACTGGAATTTCTGTCCCCTGAAAACCGCGTTACAACGCTCCACCCAGATCTGATGGAATGTAATAGCCGACACCGTCAGTTCCGGAAGACCGGAAGCAGTTCCCCCGCGCTGGAATAGCAGGTCACCGCCCTCCGCGCTGGGTTGAACCAGCGAATCGCATCCTTGAGAGCCCCCACCACCGGCTGAATAACCCGGCAGGAGAACAATGCATGGTCCACCGACTCTGCCTCCCCGTAGTGCGGGCATTTCGCCCGCTCCCCCAAGAACTTCAAGCGATCCCCCACCTGCAGGTTGAAACAGTGGGCTCGCAGCAGGACATCCCGCGCCTTTGCGGGGACCACATGAGAGTCTCTGCGCGCAATCGCCCGCTTCCAGTCAATTTTCTTCCCCCACAGTTGCTCCCACTCTGAACGACGAGACAACTTGACCGGCTGCTTGCGCCTCACCCCCAGTCCTTCTCTCAGCTGCTTCAGTGAGGCCGCTAGCTTACCCACGCAGAGCTCCGATTTTAGTAGCCTGCTGCGCGGCTCGCCCAGCTCCCCGACCACCTTGCCCCCCATCACCGCCATCGGCGTGACTTCCGACACGGACAGCGCCTTAACCCTCGCTCCCTCAGGCACGAACCACGACTTCCCGTCCTCGTGCAGGCACATCTTTACGCAATAGAGCAGGCTGCCGCGGGCTTTTTGGACCTTCCACATCTTTATCCCTCTCGTCGTCGTTCTCACCACCGTTGTGGCTTCTGCCAATTCATCCGACGTGAGCGGCTTCAAGACCCGCGCCTTCCAGTCGTCACTTAGCGCCTCCTTGACCGCCATGGCTGTTTCTGCTGCCTGCTTGCTGCCCAAGTCACGGGCTAGACGGTCTGATGATTTCCAGCGTCTGGTGCCATCTGCCCACTTCATGAGCAGGCCCCCCACCATAATCTCATGGAGGCACTCATCCCCCTTGCGCCGTCCAAAAGGGTAGCTGTCGTCACGCAGGATGTGCCTGTTGAAGAGCACCCGCTCCTTCTCGATATCCCATCTGCTCCCTACCGCCATGTATATGACAACCGGCGACTTCATCGCCGCCGCTGATTGCCTTCCACCGTTCACTCCCTGTGCCCCACGCTTTAAGCAGCGCCTCATGCGCGAGGAGGGAGGCATAACCAAGCGGGAAGTCCGCCGCACGCTCTGCCAACAACCGCCGCTGCGGCATTTCCTCCGTGAGCAGCTGCGCCAGCGAGTGCAGCGCCTCAGCATCCAGCCGGTCCTTCAGGTTTATCACCCCGAGTCCCCCTTCCTCCCTTTCGAGTTGCATGAGATCCCCATTCCAGAGAATGAAACCCGACTCCGAGTTCGCACGTCCCCCGGAGACAAAGGCGTGGCACAATCTCCTCAGCTCCTCCCAAATCGTGTCCGGCGGGGGGTAAATCTGCGCCTGGAACAACGCGATGGGCATGACATACGCGTTGACCACTGTTACACGCGCCGTAGTGGTAAGAAACTTCGCCTCCCATTTCTTCAGCTTTGCTTCCATTCTGCTTAAAGCTCTCTTCCGTGACGGCTTTGCGTCTCCTCCCGGTGTGATCCAGACCCCCAGCAGACGCTCCGGGTCATCGCGCGAAGCCCATTTGAAGGCCCCATCCGCAGGCGGTGGAATATCGCGTTGCCTCCCCAGCGGCAGCACCACCGACTTGTCCCAGTTGACTGCCAGCCCTGACATCTTTTCAAACTCCTTCAGCAGCAGCTCCGCGTCCCCCAGCTGCGAACGGCCATTCAGCAGCAAGGTAGTGTCATCAGCGTACCCCAGGTATGTCAGTCTTCCTGCTTCCTTAACGTTGATTCCTAACCACCTCCTCCTCGCCTCCTGGTAGAAGGGCTCGATCGCGCACAGGAACAAGTACGGCGCGAGGGGACATCCCTGCCTCACCCCGGTCGAGACTGGGACCTCCTCTCCCAGCGAGCCATCGTTGCAGATACGGGTCGATGCGCCCTGATGCAGCCCCTCCACCCACTTCACGTAAGCCTCCGGGAAGCCCATCTTTCGCAGCACGTCAAACAGGTACCCACGCGCCACTGAGTCAAAAGCCTTGCGGAAGTCAAACAGGAGCATGAGCCAGTCCTCCTGCCCTGCGTTCGCAGCATCAATCACGTCTGCCGCAACCGCCACCGCGCCAGCGATGCTCCTTCCGGGTAAGAAGTCGAACTGCCCAGATGACACCACGCTCTCCAGCTTGTTTTTTATCCGGTTCACCAACACCTTTCCAATCAGCTTGTACACCGTGCTTAACAGCGTAATCGGGCGGTAGTTCTGCAAGTCATCCTTGGCACCCTTCTTATGCAGGAGCACAGTCACAGCAGTTGAGAATTCCTTAGGGAGTGCCCCCGTCCGTTCAAAGTCCTTCAGAAACTGCATCATCTGTCCCCCAAGCAGGTCCCACTGCGACTCCCAGAGCTCCTTCGGGAGACCATCACGCCCCGGCGTCTTGCCCGGCGCCATCTCCGCCAGCGCACGTTTGACCTCCGCCCCTTCCCAGGGCGCACTGAGCGCCGCCACGTCCTCCAGGGAGAGACGCTTGTCCAGCGACTTCTACACCAAGTAGAGACGCCATCCGTTCCGTCAGAGACGCCATCAGCGCCTCCAGATCCCCTCCTCTCTCTGTGTTCCTTCTAACAATCTGCTCCACCCACCGCTGCACCCCAGGGCGCGGCACTTGCGACGCCGGAAGCCTCCAGAGCCCCGGGCCTAACTCCCCGTCTCCCACCGCACTGAGCTGCAGGTGGACCACGGACCAGTGGTCCGTGGACTTCTTGGTCAACCCCACATGCCGCACATCATGGATTTGATGAATCAGCGCATTCGAGAGGAGAATCCGGTCAATCCTCGTACTCTCCTGCACCGCCGTTGCGTAAAAGGTGTACTCTCGCAGACATGGATGGAGCGCCCTGAAGGCATCTCGGACATTGAAGCTGCTGCAGATGGTCATTAACCTGTCATTTTCCCCCCTTGAGCCCAGCCCTGACGTCTTATCCAGTGCAGGATCTTCAATGATGTTCAGATCCCCTGGAAGCAGCAGATGGCTCCCAGCCGGTATCGCTGCCAGGAATGGCTTAAGCAGATCGCGGAAAAATGGAGACCGCGCCGTTGGGCTCGCCGGGAAGTAAGTCGCGACAACCGTCACCGTCACACCGCGCCATGCGATGGTTACCCGCGCCAGGCGTCCTGAAGCGTCTCTGACCACATCCGAGCACGATACTTCATTATTGCGTAAGAATATCGCCACACCCCCAGCTCTTGCTGTAGGCGTCGCCGCTACTGCTGCATCTGCTTGAAGCCGATTCCAGAAGAAGTGATTTTCCGCAATCCGTGTGTCTGCTAGTATGGCTATATGTGCTGTGTCTCTTATCCAGTCCTGATCGTCTTGCTGTTTCTGCGGACAGCCGAGACCGTTGACATTCAGGAAACTGAAGGTGAGGGTGGAGTGTTTACCCATTTGGAACCTGCGTTAGGCCCCTAAGCATCCACGGGCCGGAGGTGAGGGTGTTGTTGGAAGCCATCGTTACTGCATATATACTCCAGACAGGAACAGGTACAACGGCACTGATAGATCTCCTACTCCATGGTACCGGCACACTTCTCAGCACACTGCACGCCCGAATCACTTCCCCTTCGTCTTTTCCGCACGAATCCCGTACAACTTTTTCGCTGCCTGCAGGCTCAACTTCGCCTTGGACGCACGGGTCGCAACACCCGCCGACCCCAACGCCGCACTGTGGCTGAAGGAACCGATGTGAGCCGCTGCCTGGGCAAAGGTATCCCCATGCGCACACTCGCAACACTCCTGAACACAGAGCCACTCCTCCACGTTGGCTCCCGTTGAGATAAGGACCAACGCCGGGTCCCGGAGGATCTTCCTCACCACCCCTGCCGAATGGAGGGAGGCCGCTGCAGAAGACACCCATCACAACGCCATCAGTAAGCAAAACAGGAAAGCTGATGCACAGGCGAGAACCCCGAAGTAAGCTTCCCCCCCTGTCACCGTTGATCGTGTGGATCCTGCCTAAAGACAAGTTCTATTTGCCGATGTTGTTACGACGCTCATGCACATACTCATCATGCAACTTATCCATGTGTGGTCCCTGGCAAAAGCAGCAGGACAGCGACGGATAATGCACGAGGTACGTCACATCAGTGAGCGAGTCTTCCACCACGTGGCGCCAGCGATACTTGTCCCCGGGGTGCGGAACGACCAGGCCACGGATCTTATCAGTATCCAACCCTGAGACCGGGTCAACCACGCGGTGAAACCCCGCTCCCTGCAGGAACGCCGAGCGGCCGCGCTTCTGCAGCGACGCGACCACCAGCGACTCGTAGACAATGAGCGGTGTGATTTCCGCCGGTATCCCCTTAAGCAAAACTTCCACCCCCTCCGGCAGATCGCTCTTCGCCTTCATGAAAGCACGGTTGACCGGGTGCAGCCAACCGAAATGGTGCTTCGTGGTTCCGACGACGTGCTCCACCCGGTGCTGACGCACCACCTCCGCATTAGCAGCCGTGGCGAGCGTGACTTGAAGACGGCAGAAGTGAATATGGGATAGGTACGTCGGTAGTAGCTCCTGAAACGCGAGACCATCCAAAGCGTTATCCGACAACTTCGGCCGCAAGTAGACCAGTAGAGCCTTCACTGATGGCTTCACCGCAGGCATCTCCTTCTCTAGCTCGAACGGGATCATGAGCGTCAGCGTGACGGGCGCCTTAGACGCCAGCACGCCTTTGGTCTTCGCATCGATGCCTTCGTCAGAGTCGTCGCTTAAGTAACCGTCGTCATCATCCTCTTCATCATCCTCCCCTCCACCAGGCGCGAGCTCAGCCGCAACAGCAGGCGAAGGCGCGACAGGATCTGGGACAGAAACTGTCACAATCCCAACCACTAGACCACTGGGATAAAAGGGCTTGTTAAGTAGCGGGTCAGTGCGCCCATAACCTCCCAGGACAACGAGCCTGTAAACCTTCCCTAGGATCAATCAGGGATCACCAGTGGACCTCCGACACCCCCCCGCACTGGGATGCTCGAAGTGCACACACTGGGATTCGAACCTGAGACCTTCGCTCTGATACCATATCAAAATCCCAGTCACTAGACCACTGGGATAAAAGGGCTTGTTTCAGTAGCGGGTCAGTGCCCCCATAACCCCCCAGGACAACGAGCCTGTAACCCTTCCCTAGGATCAATCGGGGATCACCAATGGACCTCTAACAGAAACCGCAGGAGTCTTCCCTGACACAGGAGAGAAAAAACCTTCACCAGGAGCGGTAGAGGCTAGGAGGACCGCGTTCGCCTCAACACCAGCCGCCTGATCCCACACCGGAACGTTGGACTCCTCTGGAGACATTAATTTTTTTGAAAGTGTATAACACTTTCTAAAAATACGTATTGTGAAAGCGCAGCTGACTGTAGCGGAGCAAGGCAACTGCGAATTAGCATTCGCCGAACATATAAGAGGGTTGGAAGCTATTTGGCCTCCACCCACGTCTTCATTTCATAACTTTGTAGTTCCACTCCCCACCCACCCACCCTGATTATATACATGTATGATTTTTAGTTGGACGAGAATGTTGTAATTACTGCAATTCTAATGAAGCACGTTGCCATTGCAAGAACAGAAAGCAAGCTTTCTCAATGACATGTTAGCAGCAGCCGCTGTAGCCCTGGTCAAAACTGGCATGCTGATGCTTGCAGGAGCTGAGTTGTGAAGTTCGCTAGTGATCAATCTCCGACTTGCCAGCAATATATAGGATTCCAGTTTCTTCCGCGACTTCCATTCCCAAGGTATCAACGGAGATTGAAGACCCCAGGGGGACTCTTGTTCCCGTGAATGCCTCGTATAGGTGTCAATTTCAGACGCCTGGAAACCATAGTCCGTAGATAAGGGCGTGTGCACTAGGCGTTCAAACTTCTGTCTAAGTTCGAACTTCTAGCGAGGTTCTACTCGGTACGATACTACTATGAGACGTTTCGCCACGGTGAAAAGCGGTTAATGTTCGAACTCTGACAAATTTTGCCCTAAGTGCACACGCCAGGCCCTCAGATTGGTTTGAGGGTATGGTGATGGATCAGCGTGCCCCGGCCAACGAGGTGTCCAAATTAGTGTTCTCGGTTTTTTTTTTTACTGATTTTGCCAGTGTAAAAATCATAAGTAGACTGAACCAACAGTGTAATAACAAAAAACTATAGTTGAAACCCCAGTACAAGGTGTGTGGTGTTGTTGCTGTGATAGGTTCCAGCGAGGTTAAACACTTCGGCGCGCACCTGATATCTGTGCAGTGCATGCGAAAAAATGCCAAGTGTGTGGATGGGGTCTCAGGAATCACGGGAAGGTACAGATTGTACATGCGTACCCTATCACCCCCCCCCCCCCCCCCCCCCCCCCCTCCCCCCACACGCGGTCAAATCCGTTTCAGTGTGACTCACGTCACTATACTGATTCGTCAGTGTTTCTTGTAAAGAAACACGCAAAATGTTCAGTGTGACAAGGTAGGATATACTGAAATTTCAGTGCAAAATTGAAGCATATGCTAAATTTTCATGGAAAACGAAAATCACAGCTACAAAATCAGCGTAATCAGTGTGTTTTACAGTGATATCTGAGGGCCTGGCAGACGCCCTAAGGTTGCCTGAACTTCAATCTGGTAGTGACAGCACAATGTTCTGCAGTTCCGAGGCGAGATAAGACTCATTGATACTACCACTGGACGACATGACCAGCCAGAAAGCAGTGACATGGCAGAACCTAGGGAAGACCTGGACCATTTGCCTGGAACTCGATAAGCGTGAAGGATACCTGCTGGGTGGGTACAATTTGTATGTTCGCCTCAAGCTACATCTAATGGTGTAGTCCATGTCGTGAATAGGAACTGTTAGCCTAGACATTGTGTTATGAGTTGTATGAAAGAAGAGTGCGCAGAATGCAATATCGCGGAAGAGATGACAACTACTTGTTACGAATAGTAATACCCGTTATTACTATGCACTCCTCACCGTAGCAAGGAACACACAATATCGGGAATGAACATAAGCGTCAGACGGTTGGAATTTCGGACGGTTACAGCACATCTGAACCGTCGGAAGCAAACGGCATCGACAGCTGCAGGCAGGATGGTTTTGGCGGGAACAGTTACGAAACTGTACGCGCCGAACGGTTGGGATGCAGTTGAATAAGGGAATGTACCCCTTAGAGTACATGGCTAGCTAGGACGTCTCAGATTCCCTTGTACTCATATTTATACCGCTGTATTTGCATGTTTTCATTATCTCAAGCATTTTACATTCACTCTGCCATTGAGGTCAAGGGCCCACCAACACTACCTCACTGCGTGCGAACCTTCCAGAGTAGATCCTGGGCTACGATCAACTTCTGATTGCAGCATGGTATGAGAGCGGCTCTGGAATCCTTCGCACCGTCACTCCCAAAAAATTACGACATTCGAAAGTGGCGACCGGCACACGATCGCGCACGAGGATGGCCGGAGGATCTGGTGGTCAGACTAATCTGACGGCTGAAGCACAACCCAACCCGGCTGCGACAAGCGGGAACACGACGACAATCGACTTCGAAGTTCTTGCACAACTTCTTCAGCGACTCACCAGCTTGGAGCAAGCACTCCAAACATTGCGAAAGAGCGATGCGGGAACACCGCCCCGCAAACATTCTCCCTCAACACCAATGGCTCAACCCCCAAGACTCCTCGTCCCAGTGAAGAGGCAATTCTCTCCGCTCAATCAAGGTTTCTCAGCATATCAAAAATAAAGACAAGTATCTGTTTTGACGGCAGAGACTTCTATACCTGGAGCTTCGAATTGGAGCTTTTGCTGCAGAACGCCCAAATTTTCCATTACTTTGACGGGAGCTACGCGGAGCCTGCTGAGGACACCGACGACGCCAAGACGAGGTATTACAACGAATCGTTGATGGCGTACGGAGTGCTCCTGCGGAATATGTCGGCGGCGGAGCAGCTCAACATTCGTTCGTACAAAACGACAGCAGCTCCAGCCCTCAACGCCTGGCGACATCTTGTCAGAACATTATAGCTTACTTATTTGTGTAGGCTATAGTGGGGTATCCCATAGGGGGTACAACCCAATTAGGGTTTCCTATTTGTACTCACTTCGTTCATAGTCATTTCATTCTCGTTCATTTCTTCTCATGGAATCAGAGCAGGTCCCCTCCTAGGGACTGTTCCTAGGGCCCACCGAAGCGCGCCCCGAGGCGCGCGTTTTTTTTAGCGACCCTGCGTGTCGCCCTTCCCGTCGTGATCCCGCCGCCCTTTCCTCGTCGGCCCCGCTTAGGCCCCGCTACGACCCCGTGTCGGCCCCGCTTAGGCCCCTCGTCGGCCCCGCTTAGGCCCCTCGTCGGCCCCGCTTAGGCCCCTCGTCGGCCCCGCTTAGGCCCCTCGTCGGCCCTACTTAGGCCTCGTCGGCCCCGCGTAGGCCCCGTCGGCCCCGCTTAGGCCCCGCTACGGCCCCGCGTCGGCCCCGCTTAGGCCTCGTCGGCCCCGCTTAGGCCCCGTCGGCCCGCCTCGGCCCCGCTACGGCCCCGCGTCGGCCCCGCCTAGACCCCGTCGGCCCGCTTAGGCCCCGCTACGGCCCCGCGTCGGCCCCGCTTAGGCCCCGTCGGCCCCGCTTAGGCCCCACTACGGCCCCGCTACAGCCCGCCGCCGGCCCCGCTACTGCCCGCCGTCGGCCCCGCTACAGCCCGCCGTCGGCCCCCGCTACAGCCCGCTGTCGGCCCCGCTACAGCCCGCCGTCGGCCCCGCTACTGCCCGCCGTCGGCCCCGCTACAGCCCGTCGTCGGCCCCCGCTACAGCCCGCTGTCGGCCCCGCTACAGCTCGCCGTCGGCCCCCGCTACAGCCCGCTGTCGGCCCCGCTACAGCCCCGCTACAGCCCGCCGTCGGCCCCGCTACAGCCCCGCTACGGCCCGCCGTCGGCCCCGCCGCCCGTGCTGCAGCCCGCCGCGCCACCGTGCAGCCGCCCGTGCAGCCGCCCACCGTGCCGCCCGTGAGCCGCCCGTGCAGCTGCCCGCGCCGCCCGTGAGCCCCTGCGTCACCCGAGCCGCGCGAGCCGCCCGAGCCGCCCGAGCCGCCCGAGCCGCCCGAGCCGCCCGAGCCGCCCGAGCCGCCCGAGCCACCAGAGGAGCCGCACTCCTGCTCCTGTGGGGCCACTGCTGCTCCTGGCCTGTGTTACTGTGCCGCTGACCTACCCGACTTTTCCTGCCCGGTGAGACTGTCAGCTGCTGTCATGGCCACCCCCACGGTCCTTGCTTTTGACGCTGAGGGTAGAGCCATTGACTTTGCAGTCTGGATTGAAGACCTGCAGCTGTACTTACTGTGTGATGCGATAGATGAGGTCTCTCTCTTTGACTTTGTCTCTGGCGCTGTCCCTGCCCCTCCTGCTGATGTTGACCCCGCCGTTCGCTCCAAGTGGGCGACCCGCGATGCTGCTGCACGTCTTGCTGTGCGTCGCCACCTCCCTTCCTCCGAGCGTGCCCACTTTAGTCAGTGCAAGACCGCTCAGGCCTTGTACGACGCTGTAGTTGCACGCTACTCCTCCCCTTCCTCCGCTACGCTGAGCCGCCTCATGCTACCGTTTCTCTTCCCTGACCTCGCTGCCTTTCCCACTGTCGCTGACCTCGTTACCCACCTCCGCGCTAGTGACGCTCGCTACCGCGCTGCCCTTCCTGCTGAGTTCCGCGCCGCAAACCCTCCTCCCATGTACATCACTCTCTACTTTCTCGTCACCCGTCTCCCTGAGTCCCTTCGTGTCGTTAGGGACCAGTTTCTCTCTGTCTGTCCCACCACCCTCACTGTCGACCTCCTTGAGGAGTCCCTGCTAGCGGCTGAGAAGAGCATCAGCGCTGTAGGGGCCTCTCGGGGTGACCCTCGCACCCCCATTTTTTAGGGGTGTTCTCCTTCCCCCCTGCTGCCCTCTGTCGCCTCTGCCGCTGCGGCCGACCTCGCTGGTTTTGAGTCGGTCGGTGCGGCGTCTGCCCCCAGCGATAGACGCCGCCCTGGCAAGGGCAAGGGGGGCAAGGGAGCGGGTGGAGCTAGAGGGGGCGGTGGCGGGGGAGGTGGGGGTGGCGGGGGGAGTGGGGGTGGCGGTGGAGGTGGTGGCGGGAGTGGAGGTACTGGTGGAGGCGGTGGAGGCGGAGGTGGCGGCGGAGGAGGTAGCGGAGGGGGCGGGGGTGAGGGTGCCGGTGGGGGCGGTGGCGGTGGAGACGGGGGTGGCGGTGGAGGCGGGGGTGGCGGTGGCGGCGGGGGCCGGAGTGGCTCGTCTCAGCGGAGCAGCTCTGGGGGTGGTCAGCGCCAGCAGCAGCAGCAGCAGCAGCAGCCACAGCA